CTACCAAATTCATCCACCAATCTCTGCAACTTCTCTTCAGAATCTCCCAAGAGCACAGTGTCATCAGCAAAGAGCAACTGTGACAACTCCCACTTTATGTGTGATTCTTTATCTTTTAACTCCACGCCTCTTGCCAAGACCCTCGCATTTACTTCTCTTACAACCCCATCTATAAATATATTAAACAACCACGGTGACATCACACATCCTTGTCTAAGGCCTACTTTTACTGGGAAATAATTTCCCTCTTTCCTACATACTCTAACTTGAGCCTCACTATCCTCGTAAAAACTTTCCACTGCTTTCAGTAACCTACCTCCTACACCATACACCTGCAACATCTGCCACATTGTCCCCCTATCCACCCTGTCATACGCCTTTTCCAAATCCATAAATGCCACAAAGACCTCTTTAGCCTTATCTAAATACTGTTCACTTATATGTTTCACTGTAAACACCTGGTCCACACACCCCCTACCTTTCCTAAAGCCTCCTTGTTCATCTGCTATCCTATTCTCCGTCTTACTCTTAATTCTTTCAATAATAACTCTACCATACACTTTGCCAGGTATACTCAACAGACTTATCCCCTTATAATTTTTGCACTCTCTTTTATCCCCTTTGCCTTTATACAAAGGAACTATGCCAATCCCTTGGTACCTTACCCTCTTCCATACATTTATTAAATAATTGCACCAACCACTCCAAAACTATATCCCCACCTGCTTTTAACATTTCTATCTTTATCCCATCAATCCCGGCTGCCTTACCCCCTTTCATTTTACCTACTGCCTCACGAACTTCCCCCACACTCACAACTGGCTCTTCCTCACTCCTACAAGATGTTGTTCCTCCTTGCCCTATACACGAAATCAAGCTTCCCTATCTTAATCAACATTTAACAATTCCTAAAAAATTCCCTCCATCTTCCCAATACTCTAACTCTCCATTTAATAACTTCCTCTCCTATTTTTAACTGACAAATCCATTTGTTCTCTAGGCTTTCTTAACTTGTTAGTCTCACTCCATATATATATATATATATATATATATATATATATATATATATATATAATATATATATATATAAAGAAGGTGAATTCATTTTTAATAAGGTGTTGCTTGAGGCTCTCTGGAGACTCCAACTCTCTAAGATCAAGAGAAATGGAATATTCATTTAATATTTTAAGATCCTAAGAGAAGACGACTGGTCAGTGTCCTTCCACACTGCCAAGTTGTGCGTCATGTCTCTCTCTCTCTCTCTCTCTCTCTCTCTCTCTCTCTCTCTCTCTCTCTCTCTCTCTCTCTCTCTCTCTCTCTCTCTCTCTTTCAAATTTTTCGTAGTAATGTAGGAGCCTAAAATATAAAATAATTTAGAGTCAAAATGGTATACATATATACATAAATCTCGTTCTCGCCCGGTACACAGTAAATATATATATTTTTAGAGACATCACATATTTTATGCTACTTCCCATGGCAAAATATTTTGCATTTTCATAAAGAATTTTTTAAAATTTATTTCTTCAAAAATAATGTTTTTCTCTTCTGTGAATATATATATATATATATATATATATATATATATATATAATATATATATATATTATATATATATATATATTATATTATATATATATATATATTATATATATATATATATAGTATTATATATATCAGTCCACAGCAGGATTCGAACCTGCAAACTCGGCATCAGAGCACACAGAACTTTATCTGGAGTCTGGCTGTGTTGATAAAGTACTCTGGATGTGAATATCCTTCCCAGTGGTAATTTGTATTTGGATTCACCGAATAACAACACTAAAGTTACTGTCATCCTACCTGTCAACTGAAGATAAACAAGTAATCCCATACTCTAACAGCTATTCTAACTAAATCCTCTTAAATCAACAACTATTCTAACTAATTTTAAATCAACGACTGTTCTATATAGATCATCTTAAATCAACAACTATTCTAACTAGATCATCTTAAATCAACAACTATTCTAACTAGATCATCTTAAATCAACAACTATTCAAACTATATCATCCTAAATCAACAACTATTCTAATTAGATCATCTTAAATCAACAACTATTCTAACTAGATCATCTTAAATCAACAACTATTCTACCTACATTATCTTAAATCAACAACTATTCTAACCAGATCATCTAAAATCAACTACTACTCCAAGAGCTCTAAGTGCCAGGAAAAATAGTTATTTACAGGCCTGTAAATAAAGGCTTGGTTTGTAAATAAAGGCTTGGTTTGTAAATAAAGGCTTGGTTTGTAAATAAAGGCTTGGTTTGTAAAGGCATGATCTGTAAATAATGCCTTTATAAACATTCCAACAAATAGCTTTTATATCAGTAACTATTTCAACTGAGATAGTGGAACGCACTGAGTAAAGACCTGGAGATCACTCAGTCGTTCCTAGACAACATGCACAGGAGCAACTACCCAATCCTCTTAAAATCCTTCAGGCCAGTGGTGTCTGAATAGCGAATAGGTGTCGGAATAGCGGTGTCGGGTAATGATGGCGTTGGTAATGATGGTGTGGGTAATGACAGTGTGGGATAATGAGGGTGTTGGTAATGAAGCGGTGGTGGTGGGTGTGGTCTTAGGTACACGGGGTGGACTGTGTTATTGCTGGTCTGGTCCTGCCACTGGTTCTTTCACGGCCTCCCTGGGAAATCTAACTCCTCTGTTCACTACACACATTTTTTTTAACTCGCTCTTCTTTTTATTTCTCTCTCTCTCTCTCTCTCTCTCTCTCTCTCTCTCTCTCTCTCTCTCTCTCTCTCTCTCTCTCTCTCTCTCTCTCTCTCTCTCTCTCTCTCTCTCTCTCTCTCTGTATAACTCTTTCAGTCTTACTGTCAGAAATTATCTTAAAAACACCCTGATAAATATGTAATAGACAGAGAGGCTACTGCAGTATTTGTGGGTATTATATATATATATATATATATTATATATATATATATATATATATATATATATATATATATATATATATATATATATACTTTAATTGAAAATAGTTCCTGTCTCTCCTAAATACCCTAACCTGAGCATCACTCTCCACATAAAAAAAAAATCTTCACCGCTTTCAGTAAGCTGCTGCCTGATCCATAGATCTGCAACATCTGCCACATTGCTCACCTGTGCCTCTTTACCTCTACCGTCCCATCTAACGTCTCTCATATTTTCTTCTTAACTGCTAAGTCCATTTGCTCGCAGGCTTTATTAGTTTGTTATTAATCTCTCTCTCTTCAAACCTTTTTCTTATTCTCAGCAAACTTTGCTGATAAAGGAACACCTGTTCACTCACATGGAAACACCTAAGAGATTTCATATATTTGCACTAACAGTGAAGTTGCTGGTGTTTTAGTGTCTTAAAACAAATAAGAGAAAAATCTTGAAATCAATTTAGGATAAAATATCTGACAATAATACGAAATAGAAATTAAAACTGTTTTGTGGATATTTTTAATACATAGGAAATTATCATTTGCTCAGTCAGAAATATAAACTGCTACGTAATTCTGCTAATAGAGATATTTGAAACTATTTTGCATACCTCAGTTACCATAGACTTGTATATTGGATTAAAAGATTTTTGACTAGTGGTGGGCGGTCAGTAACCCTTATGTAGTCGAGAGACATTCAAGTCAACCGTATTTGATGAAATCTTAGCAATACTGACCAAGCCCTTCAATTTAACATGGTAATTTAACAGGTAAGAGTAGTTCAGTAGCGTAACAAGGCTGGTAGAGTTAGTAGGTGAACATGGACAGGTAGTCCCACATAGCCAGTAGTTAAACAGGGCAAACAGTCTAACAGGAAAGTAATTCAACAGAACCATAGAGGCAGTAGTTTAAGAGTGGGAAGTAGTTATCACAACATGTACCTTAGATTCAGCACTACAAACATATTTACAAAGACAATTTACAAACAACCAGACTCTTAAGCCATTGTTTACGAGAGCTGCGAAGCATTTAGTGTTAATGTTGACCTCCTGGAGTAAGTTTTCTTCTGCACCAGTATGAAGTCACTTGTAGCCAGGATGACATCACTCGTAGTCAGGATAACGTCGTAGCCAGGATGACATCACTCGTAGTCAGAATAACGTCACTTGTAGCCAGGATGACATCACTTCTGCCGGGATGACATAAGCAGGCTTACCAACATTATATGGTATAACTTCAGCCGCTGTGTCATTCACAGTCTTAGGAGATTCTGCCACTCCATGATCAGGAGTTCATAGATCAGGTTTAGAAGACAGTGCCGTTCATAGATTAGGTTTAGAAGACAGTGCCGTTCATAGATTAGGTTTAGAAGACAGTGCCGTTCATAGATCAGGTTTAGAAGACAGTGCCGTTCATAGACCAGGTTTAGAAGACAGTGCCGTTCATAGATTAGGTTTAGAAGACAGTGCCGTTCATAGATCAGGTTTAGAAGACAGTGCCGTTCATAGATCAGGTTTAGAAGACAGTGTGCCGTTCATAGATTAGGTTTAGACGACAGTGCCGTTCATAGATCAGGTTTAGAAGACAATGCTGTTCATAAATCAGGTTTAGAAGACAGTGTGCTGTTCATAGATCAGGTTTAGAAGACAGTGCTGTTCTTACACCACGACGAACGGAGACTCCTGGTTGGAGGTCTCAGAGTTTCATTAGCAGGCTTGGGGTCTCCTAGACCAGAACCAGGACGAAAGGAGGCTCCTGGTTGGACGAGGAGGACGAGGCTAGAGAGAGCGCCCGCTGGAGGAGGAGGAGTCGTTCAATGGACTTTGGGTTGTCGAGGCTGGACAACGACACCTGAAACAACGACACAACAATGACACACTTAACGATACAATTAACAACGACACAACGACACAACACACTTGCGTATTGTTTATTTATAAGGAACTTAACCTGTTGGGGTCGTACGACGCCTTGAGACTGGAAGGTAATAGGGATTTTTTTCCAAGGAAGAGAAAGGAAGGGTAGCGCCAATTCCTCGGATTTATGGTGATTTAGGTGAAGGGATTTTGAGCATAGAACACTTCATTGAGCTTAGTCAGGGAATGGTGGAAGGGATTTGGAATGTCAAGTGTAATTGACAATGTTTTTGTGTTTATGTACTCACCTTTTTGTGGTTGCAGGGATCGATTCACAGCTCCTGGCCCCGCCTCTTTGCTAGTAGTTGCTACTAGGTGTACTCTCTCCCTTCTCCAAGAACTTTATCGTACCTCTTCTTAAAGGTATGTACGGATTCGACCTCCACTACATCACTCTCCAGATTGTTCCACTTCCTGACAACTCTGTGACTGAAGAAATACTTTCTAATATCCCTGTGGCTCATCTGAGTTTTCATCTTCCAGTTGTGACCCCTTTTTTCTGTGTCCCATCTCTGAAACATTCTGTCCCTACCCACCTTGTCAGTTCCTTTCATTGTTTATGTCAGTGTGCTTGTGTAAGTGTTGTGTACATAAAGGTTACAAACAAGACTATCCACAAACCTGCAGTGTTAATGGCACAGACCCGGAAGAAGAGGCGGAGGCGGAGGCGTCGTTCTGCATCATTACAGGCGTTGCGCCACTCAAAATAGGCACTACACGCGGCACTGACACTGCCTGGCCCTCCCATGATGCCAGGGACGTCATTCTCTTAGGCAGCACATTACTCTCTTCCGTACCTGACGATCCTTCCACGGACGAGCGCTCACTGCCAGCCTGTTCTAAGTACAGACTGTCGAGCTCTCCTGAGGTGCTGATGGATTGATGGTTCTGACGACTTAATTGCTGATTCTGGCCAGTTGATTGGAGGCTGTGACTGTTTAATTGGTGGTTCTGGTCGGTTGTTTGTCGGCTCTGGGGCTGAGGGATGATCTGAGGAGTGTCTACGTGGCTCTGTGTGAGTCCAAGAGAGTAAGAATTGATGACTGACTCGTGAGGGTTATCGTTATTGTTGTGACCTGGCAAGAAGGGCGTTGCAGCTGATGTCTGCTCGTCGTCCTCGAACTGGATAACTCTTCGGAATTTATCAGAAGATACGTACTCCTTCGGCGTCGTCGCTTTCTCTCTCTCAGGGAAATGTTGAGAGTTCCTGAGGACCTGGTCGCTCGTAGAGACCAGTGGTTCTGGTCGTTGTATGGGTGATGGAACCCGTGGCTCGCTGTCGTCGAGGTTCTTGGGGTTGTTGTCGTCGAGGAAGGTGATGGAAGGTCTGGAGGTTGGTTCAGGGCCCCTGTGCAAGGCCAGCAGCTGGTGCAGAGGCCTACTGCTTGTGGCAGGCCTCCCCACCTCGTTCTCTCCTGGCAAATCTCCACTGGGACGATCGTCACTGTCGACGACCTTGGATACGTCGAGTAAATCTTCATCGTCAGAAGCGTCGAAGGGATCGACGAACTCACTTTCATCAAGCTTAAGCTGACTGTTGAATTTTTTGTCATCGTCTTTGTAATCGATGGCGTCCTTCAGCTTTAGGAACTTAGAAAGGTCGCCTTCGGTGGTGAGGTTAAGGAACTGGAAGTAAGTAGCATCAACGTGGGCGAAGACAGCGATATCGGAACACCCGCGGAACACCTCCTGGGGTCCACATCCCGGCTTGTTACTGCCGTCCTTACAGAAGCCCCAATTGTTACCTGTAAGACGGGGAGCCCAGTCAGTTGCGCGAGGGTTCTAGTGCATTTATTTCCCCACTTAGAGCGCAGTCTCGTCACCAAGTACCTCCCAGTATATGGGATGTAAAGACAAGTGATGAAGAGCGAAACAACCTGTGATTTTAGACGTTTCGCTTAGTATCAGCCTTATGGATCCTTGACACAGAGCTCAACTTTGTGCGAAACAGCGATTAAAATAAAATGTCAATTTGTATTAAATGTGCTTATACCCATTTGTATGTTTCTTGCTTCAGCGACCCCTCCCCATTCCCCTTCCCCTTCCCCTTCCCCTTCTCCTCCCCTTCCCCTCCTCTTCCCCCAATACACACGCATCATGTACACACACACAGGTGCGTAAATATAATATTTACACGCAAACAAAGTGTATACAACCCCACAGAAATAAAATGTGCACATGCAATTATATAACGTACACTCACACGCAGACACAACACACGCTAATGACACTCACCTGTAGTGTAGTGCTACTGTACGACACACTCACTTGTCGTTTAGTGCTACTGTACGACACTCACTTGTCGTGTAGTGCTACTGTACGACACTCACCTGTAGTGTAGTGCTACTGTACGACACTCACTTGTCGTGTAGTGCTACTGTACGACACACTCACTTGTCGTTTAGTGCTACTGTACGACACACTCACTTGTCGTTTAGTGCTACTGTACGACACACTCACTTGTCGTGTAGTGCTACTGTACGACACACTCAATTGTCGTTTAGTGCTACTGTACGACACACTCAATTGTCGTTTAGTGCTACTGTACGACACACTCAATTGTCGTTTAGTGCTACTGTACGACACACTCACTTGTCGTTTAGTGCTACTGTACGACACACTTGTCGTTTAGTGCTACTGTACGACACACTCACTTGTCGTTTAATGCTACTATACGACGCACTCACTTGTCGTTTAGTGCTACTGTACGACACACTCACCTGTCGTGTAGTGTTACTGTACGACACACTCACCTGTCGTGTAGTGTTACTGTACGACACACT